TTGCATGAGAGTTTTTTTTTTTTGTTTTACTTTTTTTAACTGCACCTTTGGGGTCATTTAAAAAAATTGCCTACATCAATGTCTTGAAGTGACCAACTGACCTCTTTTATTTAGCAATATATAGTTGAGATCTATTAATACCACTTCATGGTTTGGTGTTTCATTTTGGTTATGTAGTTCAGCATTTTATCGAAGTACCATACTTTATTTATCCATTTAATTGGTCCTACCTTGGTTGCTTCCAATTTTGCTATACAATTTGAATGCAGAATTTTGAGTAGACATAAGTCTTTAAATCAGGTAAACAAATACACAGGCAAAAAAGTGAGTCTGTAGCATATTTTTTATATAAAAAATACTGCTCAATTCCTCAAGGAAAGACTATGTCAAAGGGACACAAGAAATATTTAAATGAAGTTCAAATGTCCAAAGATGAACAACTAAGTAAAATATGTAAATTAATTATGGATTCTAAAAAGTAAAAGAGTGAGACAGTGAGACCTCATTGTTGTAAGTAAATCGCTATAAACAAATGTGGGAGAATACTCAATTTCTTACAGAAAATTTCAAATAATACATGTAGGTACTTGTCATATTTTTGTTGCTGGGATAAATGTGCCAGAGAAAAAGTTAAAAGGAGTTTCTTGAACATGATTTACAAGGTTTCACACCGCAGTTATGCAGATTCCGTTCTTTAGACCCAAGGTGACACAGAATACCATGGAGGTGAGAGTATGTGGCAGATGTTGCTCACTTAATGAATACCATGTAACAAGTAAATTAGGGGAAAGTGACAAGATAAGCCTTTGTAAGGCATGCCTCAGTGATCTACTCATCCAACTAGGCTGCATCTGCTACTTTTCACTACCTCCCCAAAACGCAAATGTATCATGCATCCACAATTGCACTAATCCATTAATTAAGTCAGAGCCTTCTGGGTCAAATCTGCTTAAAGTCCACCAGCTGGTAATAAAAAATCAATATATATGAACCTGTGTATGACACTTCATATTCAAACTATAATAAAATTGTGATAAAAGGAGGTATTAGCCTGGACTAGTGGTTCACTCTAAGCCTGACACTAGACAGAGGCAGGAAATCTCTGTGAGTTCAAGGTCAATCTGGTCTACATAATGAGTTCCAGATCAGCCATGGCTAAAAACTAAGACTTTCTCTCAAGAAATAGGAGAGAATAATTCCATACCACATTAATAGAAAATGACATAGTGATTCCCACCTATAATTTTAGGTCAAGTAAGAGGGGAAAATAATAACTTCATAATAGATAAATCTGAAAAAAATACTACTTCTGCTAATTTGTCACAATTAGCATTAATATTAATAGTGAGTTTGTTATGTAGCCTTTACATGATGTCAGTAAAAGACAATTCACCTCCGTGTTCT